GGCGGGGGGGCGGTGGGGGGGGCGCCTCGCCCTCAGGGAGGGCAGCGAAAGCCTCCAGGTAGCGTCGGGCGCGTTCGCAGTCGCCGTCGTCGGGGCCGGGTGCCTCCATCCCGCTGCCCTGCAGGATCTCCACGCAGGCGGCGATCACGCAGGGGATCTCCAGCAGCCGGGCGGCCCGCAGCACCTCGCCCATGTTGGCGCTGCTGATGGTGAGCGTGGCCGTGTAGGCAAACTCCAGCAACGCGCCCAACGCCTCCGGCCCCACAAAGTCCAGCTCACAGACCTCCTGCCCCGGCCCTGGCCCGGCAAAGAGCTTCTTGAAGTAGCGGCTGGAGGCGGCCAGGACGGCGCGGTGGGTGCGATATTCCAGCCCCTGCGTCTTGATGGTGACATCGCAGAGGAGCCCGAGCTGCCGCTGCTCGTTCAGGCAGCTCAGCAGCTCGCTGCTGTGCTCGGGGAAGGGGATGCCGATGAGGTCGTCCTCTGGGCTGGCCATCGTCCTCACCTGCGGGGAAGAGGGGATGCTCGCCCACCAGCCCGGGCACCAGCCGAAAGACAGCACAGGGAGGAAACACCGTGGCTGAAGCACCAGCTCCGCCACAAAGCCGGGGCGCGAGGACACCTCCATTGCACAGGGCTTGGTGGCAGCGGCGCCAGGGTTTTGGTGGGACACCAAACCGGGGCAGGCTGGGGGCTGCCCTCCCCCCCACCCAGCCCATGCTGGGGTTGGCGGGTGGCAGGGCCCCCCGCCGCAGCCCCCCACACTTCCTCTGCCGCCAGCACCCGGCCGCCCGCGCCGCCCCCCGCGACACCACAGCAAAGGGGGAAATCTCAGCGCGGCGCCTTTGAACGGCGTCGAGGCGCGGCGTTTCCTGCCCCAGCCCACCCAGTGGGCGGGCGAGTGCTGGGAAGAGGGCCCCGAGGGCCGGGGGCCGCCCCACGGAGCCCAGCCGGGGCTGGGAACGGGGGCCACGCTTCCTGCCACCGCAGATTAGGATCTGCACCCGCGCCGCCGGTTCCTGCCCCCGCTCCCGGTGGGGGCCCGGCCCCCTCCCTCCCTCTTTGCCCCAGCCCGGGGCTGCTCCTCGCCCAGCCAAGCCCTGCCTGCGTGAGCCGGGCCTTTCCCACGCTGGGGCTGGCAGGGCTTGGCTTCAGCCATAAACCCAGCACTGGTGCCGGGGTCCTTGTGCTGCTGCGCTGGGGACCCCCGCGCCCCCACAGAGCTGGTGTGGGTGGGTGATGGAGGCTGTGGGAAGGGGGGAACCCATTGCCCTCCTGACCCACAGGCAGGGTGCGGGCAGCAGTGGCAGCTCCGGCGCTACGCCCCGGCCTGCGACCCCCTGCCCACCACGGACGATGCCCTCCTGGGTGCCCGGTGATGCTGGGTGACACCGGGGCAGCGTGTCCATCTGGCAGCTGCAGCCCTGCCAGCACCCTGGGGTAGGCAGAGGTGGGCACACAGCACCGCGATGTTCAGGTTCTTGGTGCTGCCAGAGCTGTGCTGTGCCATGCTGAGCCGGGCGAAACTGCGGCGGATGGTGGCATGTGGCACTGGACATCCCTGAGCCGCACCAGCCCACGCCGAGCCGCGCCAGGCCCATCCAACCCGAACCCCACCGCGCCGTGCCAAGCCATGCTGTGCCGTCGGCGGGCGCAGGGGACGTGCCCCCTCTTGCCCGTGGAGGGGCGGCGCGGCCGGCGGCCCCCGGCGCAGGGGCCCATCC